CCGAATCCGCGGAATGCACGGTAGAAGTCTGGCGCGCGAGACGGCGACGACATCGCCGCGGATGGCAGCGATGGGGCAGCCAATTCGGAGCGTCGCCAGGCATCCCAATATGTGTTGCCACAGCGCCCTCGCTGCGACCCCGACGACCTGGGGGCGGCATTCCCGAAGCTCATGCCGACGACGACAGTGGGGGTGGGTCAGTGCCGGCCTGCCGGGGTAGAAGCTCCACCAAAGGACGCCGAAACCAGCTTGGCCTTCGTCGTGTACTCGCGCGAGCGAAATCTCTGCAGGCTGCGCCAGTTCCACTGCGTTTGGAATCATTCCTTGGCGAAGGCGGGGACTAAAACAGCGGGGGATATCTTTTCTGGGCGCGACGTTTCCCCGAGGCGCCGTGGGGGAAGATGGCGAAAGCAGACGTGCAGGGATGGTGCTCAGATGCGGTTGGGTGTTGGGGCGCGGCGATCCAAGGTTCGCCTGCCCCGGTGACAGCACTGCGGTCAATCGCGCTCGACGAGACAGGCGCTAGGTGCAATGAATGCCCATGGGGCATCTTCTACGTTGGCCTTGGAGTTCGACGGCGGTGCGGGCCTGAACATCCCGCTCAGACATGCGGCGCTGCTTGACAATCCAAAGGCCGACCTATACATGATCGCGCTGATGTATTTGTCGCAGAGGGTACCTCCAGCTCGCCGCTGCCCGTGGAATGGGATGTAGCAGGATGTGCAGCGGCGAACCGCGCAGCGATGGCCACGATCAACATCGCCCCGGACATCGCGCGCAATACTTCGCCACTTGCTATTGCGAGTGGCGAGTGGGTCCTTTGACGACCCTCGTGCCGGACCGGATGGTTTACCAGGGCAGTTCCACGTGCGATTGCTCGCGGCAGTGGAGCTTTCGGCCCAGGCATGCTTGTATTCAACATGTGTCGTATCTGGCGTGCAAGCCCCCATCCTTGCCGTCCAAATCTCCTTCAAAGTGAGACGCGTTCAGCACGGGCCATAGCGAGTGGCGTTGCTCGATCCCTGGCTGACGCCTTGCGCGCGCTGAAGGCGTGCTAAATTCGTGCCTAGCTGCGGGTTGGTGCGAGCGGCAGAAAAAAAGCTAGATTTCCGATGCCAAGTTGATTGGGGGATACCCGAGACGTTGAGCAGCTGGAACAGGGTTATTCCAACTTGATGTCCAAATCGGCGTCTGGAACCTTCACAGACGCTTCAAGCAAAGGATAATTGCCCTCTTCCGTGGCGCCCCACTCTGGCGGGATCTCTCTAGACCACTGGTTGGCATGCGTGTCTCGAATCAAGCTCCAGAGATTGCTTGCCAAACATCAGTGATCTTGCAATCGTTATGGGGAAAATCCTGGAGGCCTCGCGCGTCGCGTAACAGTTTTATTATCTACATCGGCCCAATGAAAGTTCCTGGAATTTTCATCGCGACGCTGGCCGGCGGAAGTCGACGGAAGTAAAACGAGGCGGAAGACGGGGGAAAGGCCGCTGGAAGGTTTGCCAATGTCAGCGGAATTAAACGACGCCCCTTCCGAACCCCCTACCCCCCGTAGAAGCCTAGCAATGTTGTCTTCCTCCGTGGGCCGGGCGGGATCCCGCCTGGCTTATTCCGCTTTAGTAGTATAAGTTTAGTTCAGGACGATCAAAATCCCACCCATTAAAAATGGGGTAGACCAAAATCCCGGGCCGTTCACGGATCCCACCATGCTGGGATCGGCTCGAAGTAAGATGGGGCTCATAAATTGCAGTATTATTGCCGTGTTGGGGTCGTCTTGAGGTCATCTTGAGATCATATTCCGGTCATGTTTGGATCACGCAACCATCGCGTGGTCATTATGAGGCCACCCTGGGTGCGCTTGGATCCATCTTGTTGCCATCGGGCCATCTCGGCGTCACGCGTTGCTCATGGGTTTCGTCATCTGCGAGTCGGCCTGAGACGGTCCAGAATCCATGGCGGGATCGCGTTGGGGTGGCATCATCCTGGGTCCTTTGGACGTTATCGTCCGTGGCCTGAGGCATTCCTGGAAGCATGTTGTGGCCATGGGACGTCTTGGGATCGCGTGCGTGCGAACGCTGAGCACGCGCGCGCAACTTTTCATCTTGCCGACGGACTTACATACATATTATTCCTCCTGCGAGTTTCCGAGGAAACTTTTGCTGGAGCCAAGTAGTCCACACGTCAGCTCCGTAAGCTATGGGTCGACGCTCGCGCAGCGATGCCCTCTCGTCGGTCCGATATGAAATCCGACGTTGTTCCGACGTTGCTCGACGTGGGCCCGACGTGAACCCGACGTGGGTCCGACGTATATTGGGTTTCAAGTTGCCGCGCGAGGCCTCCAGGATTCCCTTTTTAACAAGTGCGCGGCCGCCGGCGGATTGTTCGGGCAGCAGGCGCCCTAATGCCGCCGACAGCCCCCGCGGCCGCGTGGCCGAGCTCTCGGTCTCACTGCAAATTCCTGCAAGTTCTTCGAGTGCGATGTGTCGTGACCAAGCGAAATCGACAGGCGTGAGCCTATCGATTCCGAGACCTGCGCGCGGTTTCATTTCCTTCATTTGTTACGTGTAATTAATCGTCAGTGACTGGAACGAGGTGCTCGACCTGGGCGGCCAGCTTGACGGCTTTAGAAGCCTTTGTGACCGAGCCGATGCCGGAAGGCCGAGGGTCACTGGGATGAAGAAAGCCGCCGCCCGTCGACGCTGAGCTTGACCGGCGCCTGTGGCGCGGCGCGAAGATAGCGACGCGCGGCGCCGAGCGAATATTCTTGCGCGACCCAGTCTTGAAGCTCACGGTGCGCGGCTTGGACAGCCTGGCACTTTGCTCCCTGCGCAATTTTGATCGCTTGTGTGTACGTCGTTCAAGCGCGTGCATGTTAAATGCGCCGATGATGCGCGCGCTGTGTCCGCGCTGCCCAGGGCAACTTGTGCCTCCAAGGAATGGTGACCGTAGAGACCCCGTCAGGGACATCTTGCCCGAGTGTGCGTGCTATTCTGCTGAGATTCCCACCTTGCTGTGCGCAGTTATTCCACTCGCGGTGTCGGCGGCGCAAGCGCCGCGTGGAGCCGCGCCCCCCGCGTCGCCGCCTGACTTGACGTTGGGGCATCTCGAAGGTGCTTTGCTTCACGTGCTCAGTGCTTTACAAGCTGCGAGCCGTGCGCTCTAGAAGCTCCCGGCGGCTGGCGTCTCCCATGGCGTTGGCTAACATTCCCTTCAACTGTCTTCGCCCAAGAATCATTCAGACCATTGATAGGTGAGATATCCTCGCCACCCACGCAGAAAAGCCCCAGCGCCTGCGACAGCGGGCCACGCGCCCTCCATCGCCTGCGACGCGAAGCCCACGTTCCTGCTGTGTTCCTGCCAAAGTGCCTGCGGGAGCTGGAAAGCGGGGTTTGTCTCTCTGGGGGGCCCGCCGTGTCTTCGGATTCCCCTTCGGCCTCGTGCAAGGCCCCGCCCGTGCATCGGGGTGGGGCGATAAAAGAACCCTCGCTACCTGGAGAATCCAAAAACTGTCTCGGCTCCGCTTTTTTTTTTTTTTTTTTTTTTTTTTTTTTTTGTTGTTGTTGTTGTTGTTGTTTTGTGTAAAAAATATTTTTTTGGTAAAAAATGCACCGCGAGCTCAGGCCAGTTTGCCTCGGGCACCAGGGCCGGGCTATTCGCCCCAAAGCTCAGTCTGCTCGTGGGACTTCGAGCGGCCTCGGGCCCCTCTTGAGCGTCCCCGGTGCCAGCGGGTCCCACTGAAGAGGCTCCGACGAAATGTCAGAATAATGTGTGGCGTCGGCGACATTGGTCTCGGAAGCGAGGCGTCGTTCCTGCCTGGACTGCGTCGCATGCCGCGACTTGCAACTGGGCTTGGGCGCGCGCTTTGGGCGAGCGAGCCGCGGCGACTTAGGCGGGGAGATGACCGGGCGAGTCGCGAGCTGGAGGCCTTCGCCCCTCAACTGGACCTGCGGGCCCATGCGCGCCCCGCTGGGGGCGGCGGCGATGGGCGCCAGGAAATCAACGCGCAACGCGCGAATTGCCGGTGCCAGCAACGGAAGTGTGGTTGATATCCGTGGAAGGAACCACCCCGCAGACCGCGGGGATGAACCGCATTTCGTAAAGGTTTTGGGCGGCGTATTGAAATCCCCGAGCATGGCCCAGGGAGGCTGGGGCAGGGCGAGTAGGGCCCCCGCGCGCGACAGTCGCTTGGCGTTGTCCCCGTGGAAGCCCCCAGATTATATCCCATCATATGCAAACTCTTCGAAAGTGTAACTATTGAAGTAAGTGGTGAGCGGAAGGAGCCCGGCGAACGAATCGCCCTGACAAGAGCATAACTCGGGACCTTCGCTTGGAGTGCCAAAGGCAACTACTTGCCTGTGTCCCCGGTTCAAAATAGTTTTCGCGACCTTCTCCTCCAGCGCCTGTCACGGCGCTGCCGCCGGGCCTGGCTGAATGCGCAAGTGAGTCTCTGCGCCTGCAATGTATGGATGCTGTCCCCGTCGCCGCCCTGGGATTGACGTGGCCCCGGGCCTGCTTGCCCCTGCGCGAAGCGAAAGAAGAGCTGGTCTGCGGAGGCCGATCGACTTCCTTAGCGCCATCTGCCGGTGCAGCAGGCTCTGTCTCACTGGGCGCCCAGGAGCCGACGCAGAGCTAGCCTGTCTCGTGGGTGTAGATGCGGGCCCCGCGGAGGCTGCAGGCTGGCCTCCGCCCGCGCTGCCTCGCGCTGTGGCCACTGGCGCTTGGGCCCCCGCGGCCGTCGCTTCCTCCTGCTACTTGACGTGCTCGGCCGTGCGAAACTTGGCCTCCGATAGCCTCTGCGCCTCTCTCTCGGTGTCCTTTGGGCTGGGCTGCTGGCTGCCGTCGGCTCTGGCCAGGCCAACTGGCGTGGTCGTCGCCTTGGCTGCCGCCGGCGCCTCAGCAGCCGATGCCGCGGTCGCGGCGCCGCCCTCGCTGGCCTGGCCTGCGCCTGGCCCGCTGCCGGCTCCGCCCTCGCGACTCTTCTTGGCCGTGCGGGTCTGGGCCTCGCTCTGGAGCGTGAGCGCGCGCTGCTTCCACTCGCCGATCTTGGGGCCTCTCTCTCCTGCAAACTGATTTTGGTTTCCTTCAGCTCAGCTTCGATATTTCGAAGCTCGGTCCGTTCCGCCTCCTCGCAATCCAACTGGTCCAAGGGCGCGGCTATTTTTTTCTGGTGCTCGGCACTAGCTGCAGTCTTGGCCGCCTCCTTCTTCTTCTCCTCCGAAGGTTGCAGGTTCTCTCTGAGCTTCATGACCGGGTTGGCCGCTTGCTCGTGCTTGAGCGTCGCGTCCCTCCAGGTGGCCGCTGCCCTCCTCATGCTCTTATCAGCGGCGACCGTTTTCAGCGGGCTTGAGCGCCTTGATTGCATCTTATCCAGCAAGATCTTCTTACTGCCGAGGTCGGTGGTGGTGGCGAACATCTTGGACAAAGTGCGATTCCACCTGAGCAGTGCCTTCTGCGGTGCTCGCCGTCTGCCCCTTGCCCGCCGTGTGTCCGCCAGGGTTGACCAAAGATGAAGCATTGCAACTGCTGATATTCCTTGCGTTCGCCTTCTCCTTCGGAAGATATGTGTTCACCGAAGGTTTGCGCTTCGCGCGCTGATTGTTGCGCGCTGCCAGCACATCGTTGTGCTCGTGCGTGTGGCAAACGGCGCACGTAGACCAAGGCCGAAGGTTGCCTGCATTGCGCCCCCCTGCTTTAGTCAGTGGAAGCAGTTGCCCTACGTGGATCTTGCGGGTGGCCCACGGTCCCCCACGCGCCCCGTGGCGGTGCAGGGGCTGGTAAAAAGGAGATCCACAAGTTTGCCTCGAACCAGAAGTTCTTCAGGGAGGAGGAGGAATAGGAGGAGGAGGACGAGGAGGAGGAGGACGAGGACGAGGAGGAGGAGGAGGAGAAATACTAAACAGATGATTATTATTTCTAGCAGTAAGAACACGAACGGCATTATCAATCATTCAAATACTAGTATCAATACGAACTTTGCTAATGACGCTAATGCTAAAGGTTGTGATACTGATACCACTCACACGAATCAGGATAAGGTTGCAATACTACTATTCGCAATGGTACTATTAATATGATTACATCTAAAAGTAATCAACAAATCACTAATCTTAGAAACTATATTTGTGTTTTTTTTTGATACTGGTAGTACGAACACTACTTTTCGTACGACTGATAATCACACGTAGAAGAGGAAACAACAGTAATAAGAGAAGGAACAAGAGGAGGACGAAGAGGAGGAGGACGAGGAGGAGGAGGAAAAAGGAGGAGGAGGAGGAGGAGGAACATTTGGAGGAGGAGGAAGAGGAGGAGAAGGAGGAGGAGGAGGATGAGGAGGAAGGAGGAGGAGGAGGAGGAGGCAAAAAATTTGGGGGGGAGGCTGAGGCTGAGGGGAGGAGAAGGAGGAGGAGGAGGAGGAGGAGGAAGGAGGATGAGGAGGAGGGGCAGGACGAGGGAGTAGATAGGAGGAGGAGGAGGAGGAGGAGGAGGAGGACGAGGAGGTGGAGGTCCTCCCTGTCTCTGGGGCGGCCTCGTGAACTCGGGGCTTCTCGCAGGGGCGCGGCTGTCGGGGTCGCGGCGGCCGAGCCGACCGCGCTGCCTCGTGAAGTCGTGTCCTCGAGCCCTCCTCCTCCTCCTCCTCCTCCTCATCCTCCTCCTTTTCCTCCTCCTCCTCCTCCTTCCCCCCCTTCCCCTCCTCCTTCCCTTCCCCTCCTCACTCCTCCTCCTCCTCCTCCTCCTCCTCCTCCTCCTTCTCCTTGTCTTTGCATTTTCCTCCCAACTTTTGTGCCGCCATCCTCCTCCCTCTCTTCCTCTCTCCTCCTTTTCCTTCTCCTCCCCTTCCTCTTCCGCCTTCTCCTCACTCCTCCTCCCCCTCCTCCTTCTCCTCCTTCCCTTCCTCCTCCCTCCCCTCCATCTTCCTCCTCCTCCCCGCCTCCTCCTCCTCCTCCCCTCCGTCCCCCCTCCTCCTTCCCCCCCGTTCCCCTCCTCCTTCCCTTCCCCTCCTCACTCCTCCCTCCTCCTCCTCCTTCTCCTCCTCTCCTCACTCTCCTCCTCCTCCTCCTTTTCCTATTCCTCCTCCTCCTCCTCCGCCTCCTCCTCCTCCTCCTTGTCCTCCTTTTCCTCCCAACTTTTGCTACCCCTCCTCTTCCTCATCTTCCTCCTCTTCCTCTCTTCCTCCTTTTCCCCCTCCTCTTCCGCCTTCTCCTCACTCCTCCTCCTCCTCCTCCTCCTCCTCCTCCTCCTTCCCTCCCCCTCCTCCTCCACGTCCGTCCCTGGGGTCGGGTGGCGGCGCACTGAAGGTGTTTGCAGATCGGGGCGGTTATGCTTCTCAGCTCGGCAGAGTTCTGCTTTGCACGCCTTGATCTGGCTTCATCCTTCTGCCCCATGGGGTTCCGCGGTGCCTCTCGGGGTCCTGCCTGGGGGCTTCTGCGGCGACGTCCACCAGGGCTGCGTAGCTGAGGAAGCTGGACGAGGCTCGTCGGGGCCGGCACGCGTCCACTGCAGCTCCTTTGGACGGTTGGGTCGGGTTTGTTGGGAGGTACTGCTGGATGATGATGCTGCTGCTGCTGCCGCTGATGATGATGATGATGATGATGATGATGAGGAGGAGGAGGAGGAGGAGGAGGAGGAGGAGGAGGAGGAGGGTCGGCCTCCGAAGCCCCGTCGTTTCGTTCTTCGCCTGTCGCCGCCTGTGCCAGCAGACGGCGTTCCAGTCGGTGCCCACCATCCCCTCCTCGTCCTCCACGCGTCTCCTCCTCCCTCCTCCTCCTCCTCCTCCTCTCCTCCTCCTCCTCACTCCTCCTCCTCTCCCCCTCCTCCTCCTCCTCCTCCTCCTCCTTCCCCCTCCTCCTCCTCCTCCTCCTCCTCCTCCTCCCTCTCCTCCTTCCTCCTTCCCCCTCCTCCTCCTCCTCCTCCTCCTACTCCTCCTCCTCCTCCTCCTCCTCCTCCTCCTCCTCCTCCTCCCTCAATCATCCTCAATCGCACTCCTCCTCGGGCTCCTCTTCCTTGGTCCCCCATTGGGTGGACGAGGAGACGGAGCTGATCCCCGGCCCCTACCACTCTGACCACGCCGGCTTCCAGCAGGCCTACGCGTCGATGGCGGAGCACGCTGGCGGCACCTTGCCAGAGGCCGAGGGGGTTCGGTGTGATACGTGTTGTTCGGCCTCGACCTCCCCGTCCTCCTCGTCTTCGTCATCGTCTAGAAAGTGAAGACGGGAGAAAGAGAGAGAGAGACAGAGACGAGGAGCATATTGAGGATGCGGAGGAGGAGGAGGGAGGAGGAGGAAGGATGAGGAGGATGATGAGGAGGAGGAGGAGACCGATTCGGAAGATGAGGAATGGTGTAACAATTGTTGGCTCAAGCCTGGAGGCATTGCTCACATATTCCAGCGTTTTGGCCAGGGGCGACGTGGCGCCTGACAGCCATGTGTAGGTACCCCAGGTTACGTCGCCTGATTATTCCACTCCGTCGCCGGCAAGCGTTTGATAAAACGATCGCACTAGCAAAGGCTTGATAAAGCGATTCTGGTGGTGGGCCACCTTCTTGCCGTGGTAAACGTGGATAGGGCCTGCTGTCGGACTGTCGCTGTACTGCGCAAGTTCAACGTACTGCTGGGGGCCGAGCAGGGGACGAAGTAGACTATATCTGGCGCTCGTATAGGCAGCACGACCCCTCGCTCAGCCTGCCTCGGGCCAGCGCCTCGTGGGAAGGAAGGCGCGCCCAAGCAATGCCGACGGAAGCCACGTAGGCCCAACTAGTTGAGCTACGACTCAAAATTGGGCAGCAGCAGCGTGAAGTGGCGCCCGAGAAACAGTGGAAACGGATGAGGGAACCTGGAAGTGTCAACCTCGCCAGGTTGGAGACGAGCTGAACCCGAACATCTCGCCTTCCTTGGTTCAGGCCCTTGCCAGACCTTGGACACGTGCGAGAGGAGGAGGAGGAGGGGAAGGGGGGGGAGGAGGAGGAGGAGGAGGAGGAGGAGGAGGAGGAGGAGGAGGAGGAGGAGGAGGAGGAGGAGGAGGAGGAGGAGGAGGAGGAGGAAGAGGAGAGGAGGGAGGAGGAGGAGAGGAGGAGGAGGGGAGGAGGAGGAGGAGGAGGAGGAGGAGGAGGAGGAGGAGGAGGAGGAGGAGGAGGAGGAGGAGGAGGAAGAGGCGTGAGGCTCTCTGCACCGCGTGGAGAGCGAACGCGAAAACCTTTCGCCCAGTGCCCGCGCGTGGCGGCCTCGTGCGCTGGCGTGCGCTTCCGGGTTGTCGTCTGCGGCCCTCCCGTCGCCTTCTCCTCAGGGCCTTCGTGCGCTGGCCGGCGCGCCAGGCTGCCGCCGCTGGCCGCCCGTCGCCGCCTTCTTGGGGGCCTTTTGGGGGCCTCTTGGGGCCTCCTGGGGGGCCCTCGGGGCCGAGGGCTCGAAACGTCTGTTCGGGTCCCCCACCTGGGCTCCCTCTTGGGGCCATCTTTGGACCCTCATGGGCCGTCTTGGGCGCCTCTTAGGCTGTCATGTGACCCTCTTTGGCTGTCTTGGGAACCTCTCGGGGGCCTCTGGGGCCTCTTGGGGCGATCTTGTGGGCCTCGTGGGCCGTCTTGGAGCGTCGGAAAGCCGCAAAGGCGAGAAGGCCAAACAACCTTCAAAAACCAAAGGGCAATCAATGAGTTGAGCCCCTTGGGGCCCTCTTGGGACTCCTCTTGGAACACTCTTAGGACGTCTTCAGGGCCTCCTTCTCGGAGGCATCTTCGGCCCTCTTGGGCGCTTTTTGGGCCCATGTTTGGCCGGCTGCGCTGCCGAAGGACGCGCGCGATACGCCCAGGGAATCCCGGGGAATCCCCGGAAATTCCGGGGAGTCCCCAGGAATCCCCGAAAATCCATGTGAAACTGGTGGCCCTGACCCTTCAAACCTATCAGAACCCTACAACTCTGAATGTCTCAAGGCTGCATGAGGCTTGGGGCACTCCACTACGTGCTGCAGGCACGATCGTGGATACAGAGGTACTGAGGTGCATAGGGTATGTGTATGTGGTACACATATGGTGATGAAGCAGCCACTCTGGTGCACACGGGCAATGTGGTGTGCACAAGCAGTGTGATGCACAGGCGTTGTCGTGCACACAAGTGTTGTGGTGCACGCTGGCATTGTGGTGTGCACGCGCGATGTGGTGCACACTTGTGTTTGCGTTGCAGCAACTACGGTGTACAAGCTTTCTGTGGTGTGCGCACTCACTGCTGTTTACGCAGGCGCTGATGTACACAGGCGTTGTGGTGTACACAGGCAACGTGGTGTAAACACGCACTGTGGTGTAGACGGGCATTGCCGTGTACAAGGGCACTGTGGTGCACGCAGGCATTGTTGTTCACACCTGCGCATTGGTGCACGCAAGCATTGTGGTGTTCACCAGCGCTGTTGTGCACGCAGGCATTATGGTGTGCACAGGCATTGTGGTGCACCCCGTGGTTCCATCGCGCGGGCATATTGTGGCGGGCATCCTCAGGACGAAAGTTTTCCCTCTTGGGATCATAATAAAATGGTATCAAGTCAAACACGGCCACGTATCAGAGGAACGGTGGCGGATCCAATTATGATCAATTGTGTTTGCGTGGATCCGATTGTGGTTTCGTATGGGATGCGGTGGATCCGATCTCTGTCTGCGCAGATCTGACCTCGATCCCTCGAGCTTCGCACCCCGTCCTTTCTCATGGCGGATCCGATGTCTCCACCTCGGTCTAGTTTTTTTGTAGTTGTAGCATGAGTCAGGGAGCCGACCGGGGTCGGATCCGCGGACCCCAGGCCCCCTCCTCCCCCTCCTCCTCCTCCGGATCCTCCTCCTCCGCCTCCTCCTCCGCCTTCTCCTCCTCCTCCTCCTCCTCCTCCTCCCCCTCCTCCTCCTCCTCCTCCTCCTCCTCCTCCTCCTGCCCGTGCTAAGCTTCTGTGGGCGAGGTGCGCTCGGCCAGCAGCTTCCCACGGGGAGGGGTCCCGCGCTGCTCCGCGCACTCCCGTCGGCTCTCCGCGCGCGAGGGCCCCGCTCGCCACGACTACACCCAGGAGGAGGAGGAGGAGGAGGAGGAGGAGGAGGAGGAGGAGGAGGAGGACGAGGAGGGGGAGGAGGAGGAGGAGGGGGAGGAGGAGGAGGAGGAGGCCCTCTCCCCCCGGTTGCTGCCGAGAGCTGGTCCAGGCGCCGTCTGTTTGGCGGCGCCGATGCCATCTCGAGAGCTCCTCGTTGCCGTCCGAGGAGAGTTCCTCGCCTTGCGCGAGGGTGGTGGCGCGCGCAGACACTGCGTCCGCTGCCCGTGGCAGCCCTCGGCAAGCCCCTACACTTCGCCTAGCCATCCCTTTCAGATCCTTTATGTACATGCTCATCACAGCCGCCATCTGGCTATTCCTAGGCATTCACAAACGGCGCCAGCGCGAACCAGTATCTTACCACGGGGGGGGGACGCGCCGTCATCTGACGACGCGTCGTCTCAGTTTGTACGTTCGTTCATTGCGCATATCATGTAACAGCACGCGCAACCAAACAGTATTGGCCCCACTGTACAGGCTGCACGCGTTCGCACATGTCGAAATCCTTCCAACCACTTGCGTTAAATTATAATTTGCAAAGCCGTCAACAATAATCGGCAAAGCATGACAGACTTCTGCGCGCGCAGCCGGTGAAGTTGAACGAGCACTTTATTCATTGCCGCCATCGAGACCACGGAGGATGTAAGCGCGCACTTGTCGAGCTTCTTCAGCAATCAGTGCGTGCACGACAGTTCTGCAAACTGAGTAAGTGAGGGCCACGCGCGCGTCCCCGCGCGCGTATGCAGAACTCATTGCAAAGCCATCTGTCCTTCAAGCATTCCAAGATAGAAGCCATCACCGTCATCATCAACATTCTCATCGTCGTCGTCGTCGTCTTCCGATGTCATCGTCGCCATCTTCACTCGCCCGCCCAGGTCGTGGATCCGCATGAGCAGGGTCCGATTGTTATTGCGCCGGCTGGCTTTTGCCAGCAAGTTGCGAATGGGTGTGCGGGATGTTTCCTCGAACATGGGAGGTTCTCGTGCGCGGATGCTAAAATTTGGGTGTGCGACATCGATTCCATTTCCAGTCGGACCCGGGATCTGCCACCATGCCGAGTATTGATTTTTGATCGTGCCGTTTAGATCATATGCCGAACGAACTGCTGCCAGGCCAGCCAAGCCAGTATCGACACGCCCCCGTCATCCCCGTCTAATGCGGTGAGGGCGCTGGTTACGGAAAGTGCCCAGGAGGTTTCGGTCCCTGGAGGATTCTTCATTCAATCGCTTCGCTCATTCCGCCGGCCCATGTTGCATGATCGCTACTGCTTCGCCGTGGGCCCGGGGCCATTGTGGCGCCGCCGAGGAGGAAGAAGATGAGGATGGGGAAGGGGAGGGGAGGAGGAGGAGAGGAGGAGGAGGAGGAGGAGGAGGAGGAGGAGGAGGAGGAGGAGGAGGAAGAGGAAGGGGCGGAGGAGGGCCCCGGAGGATTCTTTCTTTGATGGGCGCGGCGGCGACATCCATGGCCACGCCTCACTTGGTGCGACCAGTGGCTCCGTGCTCCGCCGCGCGCGCGCTGCCGAGGGCGCACGCCGATATCCGTCTAACACCGGCAGTAGTCAAGTAATCTCAACGTGCATCGGGGGCGGAAAAGAGGGGGGTGATGACTAGGGGGGGGTGGATATCATGGCGGAGGCCATGATCTTTCCCCAGATCTCGTGGCGCCTCTTCTTATTTCATTAAGTCCCTGGCCCCCCCGCTGGGCCGCGCACATGCCGCCGGTCATGATTTGCACCCCCCCCTCTTGGACACCCCCCTCTTGGCCGCTCCCGAGTGCAGCAGAGGCGTGCAAAACCACAATGCGAAACCAAGAGGAGTGCAGCAAGAAGTGCTTCCAGGATCCGGGGATTTCCATCCTCAACAGCACCGTCGTTGATGTCATCGCCAGCGGAGTCATCGTCACCGTCATCACCGTAGTCTTCATCACCGCTGTCGCCATCATCATCCCAACAGTCATCATCAACATCATCATCGTCGTCGTCAACGTGATTGTCGCCCTTGGCGCCACCATTATCATCATCGCCAGCGTCACCATTGCCACAGTCATCACCACCATTTCCATCACCCTCACTGTCGTCATCGTCACGATCCCCGCCTTCGTCATCAATACCATTATTTTCATGGTCATCGTCGTTGGCGTTGCCCTCTTTGTCAGCGCCACCAGTTTCCTGACCATCATCAGCACTCCTTCGTCCGAGGCACGGACCTGCATGAGCAGGATCCCCACCGTCATTATGCGAGTTATGCTTTGCCAGCAAGTTGCTGGTGTTTGAGTGGGGTGCTTGCACGGGCATTGGAGGTGGTCACGCGCGGATGACAGCAAGATGAATTGCATCCTATAGAGTGCGACACAGATATCACAACACTTGCATTCTCGTTTCAATGGAAGCATCGGCTCTACCACCTCCTTTCAGCCAGGACTTAACAGTTCAGCTTTTCGTAGCGCAAGTTGCATCTGCTTCTGCCTCATCGTTGCGATCCCAAGTCACATCGGAATCATACTTGCCCAGCCGAACCGTATTGTTCCCCCCCTTCTCCTCGTTCAGGTGGTACCATGCGCGCGCCCACGTTTCTCTCACAGAGAACCGTTCAAGATTCCTCTGGAGAAGGCCGTGGCCAGTTTGGCTCGAGACATCGTCTGCATGCGGCGTGGGTCCGAGGACGCCGGGGACGGCCGCGCCGGAGGCGTCCGCCCACATAGGCCCCCCCGCCAGGCCCGATGCAGCAGCAGGGCATGAAGCTGCTGCAGACGGTCAAGCGCCGCATGGGCGCCGAGGACGCCAAGGGCAAGGCCTCGAGCTCGAAGGACCCCGCCCGGGGCCGCGCCGGGGCGCCGTCGGGGGCCAGGGCGCCAGCCGTGGAGGGGGACTGCGCGTCGCTGCCGAAGCTGCGCGACGCCCCGGCCGTGGAGCGGGGCGAGCTCTTCCGCCGGAAGATGGAGGCGTGCTGCGTGGTCTTCTCGGGCCGAGCGAGAGGGGGGGATAGGGAAAGCAAGGGCGCCTCCTCGAGGGCGCGAAGTGATTCGCGCTTCGCGCTTCGCGGTTCGGCTCCGATTCCTCCTCATCCTCTTCTCCCCCGGGAGGCGGCGCGAGCGCGCGAAGTTATCTGCACTTCGCGCTTCGCGCTGCGCGAAGCGCGAAGTTGGGAGCCCTTGGGATAGGGAAAGGGGGGGGGTACGAAATCTGCTGCATGCAGCTGGTTTCGGCCCCGCCGCCGGGCCCATTCCTCGATCCCTAGGCGCCTCCCGGCGCCGGGAAGCGCCGGGAAAATCAGCTACGTGTGAGCTGATCCTCAAACCCTCGCTTTGCTATCCCCCCCTTTCGCCCGGCCCGATCTTCGACTTCACCACCGACAGGAACGAGCGCGAGAAGGAGGCCAAGCGCCAGACGCTGCTGGAGATGGTCGAGTACGTTAACAGCACGCGCAACTGCTTCAACGAGTCCCTCATGCAGAGTGTCGTCAGCATGGTCGGCGCGAACATCTTCCGGGCTTTGCAGACGCGGAGCAGGGACGTATTGACCTTCTCGGATCCCGAAGACGACGAGCCGTATTTGGAGAAGACTTGGCCGCACCTGCAGATAGTATACGAACTGTTTTTGCGCTTCGTCGTGTCGAACGATGTTGATCCCAAGATAGCTAAGAGGTTCGTGGACCAAAATTTCATGTTGAGGTTACTCGAGCTTTTCGACTCCGAGGACCCCCGCGAGCGCGACTACCTCAAAACGATATTGCACCGCATCTACGGTAAGTTCATGTCCTTGCGGTCGTTCATCAGGCGCGCAATCCAACACGTGTTCTTTAAAGTCATATACGAATCCGAGAGCCACAGCGGTGTCGGCGAGCTGCTTGAGATTCTTGGTAGTATCATTAATGGGTTCGCGCTGCCACTGAAAGACGAGCACAAGGAATTCTTGACCAAGGCTCTAACACCCCTGCATAAGGTGAAGTCCCTGGGATCTTTCAACCAGCAGCTTTCCTACTGCTTGGCGCAGTACGTGGAGAAGGATCCGCGCCTCGCCTACGACATCATCACGGCCATGCTACGCTTCTGGCCCCAGTCGATCACGGCCAAGCAGGTTCTCTTCTTGAACCAACTGGAGGAGACGCTAGAGCTCACGCAGCCGTCCGAGTTTCACCGCATGCAAGAGCCGCTGTTCCGCCGGGTGGCGCAGTGCATCAGTTGTCCGCATTTCCAGGTGGCTGAGCGTACCCTCTTCTTTTGGAACAACGACTACATCGTGAAGCTGATCAACCAGAATCGCCACACCCTCTTCCCTATAATCATCGGGGCTCTGTACGACAACTCAAAGCATCACTGGAACAGCGCCGTTCACGGCCTCACCTTCAACGTGCTCAAGTTGCTGATGGAGGCAGACAGTGAGCTTTTCGACCGGTGTTCTGCGCAGCACCGCCTTGACGAGGATGCCAAGGAGAGCCGCGAGCAGGCGCGCCAGCAGAAGTGGAATGTACTGCGGGACCTGTACAGATCGAAGGCGGGTGGCCTCTGCCTGTGAGGGAGGACTCGCCCCTCCCATGGGCCCCCACAGGCAAGTCCAGCGCAGCGCTGCACACAGTATGCTGGCAGGATTCCGCCCCAGCCATGCGAGGGCGAGAGCCGGGGTGCGAGGCCCGCTCGTGCAGGCTCGCAAGCAGCGGCGTGCTGGTGAAAACCACCTGCTGAGCTCCGACGGGTTGCGGCCAGCAGCGTCGGACCGCCGTGGCCAAGACCTTGCGCAGCCCAGCACTGGCGCCCGCTGGCCCGTTGCCTGCCTCTGGGCGCTTCCCGCTGTGGCTGGCCGGAGGGGAGCCCGTCCCTCGTTTGGGGTCCGGGGCCCTCGATCTCACCCTCTGCAGGGCAGGGGTGGACCTAAACGGTGTTTTGGCGATTTCGTGGGCCGTTTTCGTTTCGATTTCGTTTGGCGTTGAAGGCGGATTGAAGACAGAACCAGGGAAAACGAAAACGAAAACGCAAACGAGCAACACCGTTTAGGTTCAGCCCCGTTGCAGGGAGCTCGCTCCGCGGGCTCGTCTTTCCAGGGCCCCGGGCCTCGAGCAGGGGCGGCCGGCCGCGGCTCTCTTCTGGAGGCGCTGGGCCACGAGATCCGACGCTCCCCCCTGAAGATGCAGCGGCGAAGGAGAAGATCCCGACCAGAGCCCCACACCCCCCTTGGCATCGCTCGGACGTGTGTTGTTTTCCTTCGGCGAGGACCATCGAGGAGCATCCTTGATCATTTGGCGAAAAAGCCACGCACGAAACCGAACAAAGACACAGGGAATGGACGTCCGAGCGATGGCCAGACCCCATGCTCCTGCCTCATGCTTCGAGCTGGATGGACCTGGAGGGGCCCCGGGGCCCGACAAGAGGGCGAAGTCGCCCAGTGACACACACTGGCGACGCCAGGACCTCAGGGGCGTCCTGACCCAGACGGCATGATGAGCAGGTGGTGGGGCGACTCACTTTCCGACGCAGCGTCCTCTTCCCACCCACACCGTCCCTCCACGCGCGCCAAAAAGTTCCCCCCGCCCCCTCTCCGACAGCACGCGCCCATTCCCCTGACCCGGACCCCAGGGTTCAGTCGGGCGTGTCCCCCATAGGGGGATTTTCGACGAAAAGCAAAAAGGACCCCCAAAATAGTCTAAACACAGTCCAAAAATAGTCAGGGGACGATTTTTTGAGCATCTTTTGGCAATTTTGGATTTTTTTTTGGGGGGTATCTTAGGCCATTTTTGGCCAATTTGGATTTTTTTAAGGCATTGTGGGGGTATTTTTTGGGTATTGTTGGATTTTGTTGTGGCAATTGTGGATTATTTTTGGGGTATCTTTTATTTTTCTTCGACAAGCTGTGCCCTTCGGAGTGGGGAGCGGCCCTCGGGAACCTCCGCTGCGCGCCGGGGCCTCGTGTGCGAGGCCGGCGCGCGCGGGCGCCCGCGCGTGCGCGGCCGCGCCGCGGCGGGAGGAGGAGGAGGAGGAGGAGGAGGAGGAGGAGGAGGAGTAGGAGGAGGAGGAGGAGGAGGAGGAGGAGGAGGAGGAGGAGGAGGAGGAGGAGGAGGAGGGGAGGAGGAGGAGGAGGAGGGGGAGGGGAGGGGGAGGGGGAGGGGGAGGGGGAGGGGGAGGGGGAGGGGGAGGGGGAGGGGGATGAGGAGGAGGAGGATCGCCCGCGAGGGCCAGGCCTGACGGGCCGAGGCCGCTGCTCGGCCGCAGGCCCGGCGTGGCTGCATTTCACGCGGGTGTCGGGAGCGGAAACGAGGGGGGTGATGACTAGGGGGGGGGGGGATTTCATGGCGCGGGCCATGATTCTTCCTCAGATCTCATGGCGCCTCTTCTTACTTCACATCACGTCCCTGGCGCCCCCCGCTGGGCCGCGCACGTGCCGCCCGTCATGATCTGCACCCCTCCCTCTTGGACACCCCCCTCTTGGCCGCCCCCGAACAGGGGGGAGCGGGTCCTGAGGGGTGAACGGGTCCTGCGATCTTTGCCACCGCACTCGAGCTCTCGGGGCCCTCGTGTGTGCCATTCTTGTGCGTGCGGGTTTTTCGACAGGAAGCGAAGGGCGCCTTGAACGCACAGGCGATCGGAGCCACCACAGGTCTCGCCTCGGGGTCTCGGGGGAGGGCGCGCCAGGGTCCAGGGCCCGCTTCCCTCAGGACCCGCCTCCCCCATGCCGACGCCCGTTGTCTCTGCCTCGCGCTCTGCTTGCACTGGGCTCGTGACGCGAACGGCACGCGCACGTGCTGCAGGGCCAATACCCTAATCTATGAATGTCTGCGAGGAAGGAGCAAGTCGCTGGTTGTGGTGCAGCCTTGCGGTTCCTGCAGTTTTTTCGCGCCTTGTCAGCTCGAGCGCTGGTCGATGCATCACAGGCCGGACCCTGAGATTAGTAGTGCCACTTGCCGCGTAAGGCCGATCAGCTGCTTCCATTTTATAGCTGCACAGCGCCACGACTCTTTCCCCGACAAGCCGTAGTCGTCGAATGTGCCAGTGGGGAGCCCCCCCCCCAACGACAAATTCATTTGCAGCATCTGCCACGAGCTCAGCGCTCGCGCACGTGCCGAAATCATTTCACGCGCGCAAGAATTTCAGCATACAAACATTCAAGCACGGTCATCCAAACAAATCTGTCCACGCGCACTTGTTGAAATCGTATGATGACCATACGATTTTAACATCTCGCCCAGAACCCGCATTCTCACCTCACCACGTGGCGCATCCGCGTTGATCTAGCATGCGCCCAGTGGACGAATCTGTCTAACATACGCAATATCGTGCGGGCCTCATCTGCGCGTCGCCACAGGCGCGTGTCAAACTCTTTCCAAAACCTTGTGTTCCGATACAATCCAAACGTATACTTCTCCAGCACCATATGGAAATCACATGTTTGTCAATCAGACGGCTGCCAGATTTCTTGAGTTCCTGCGCGCGCGCACCTCCTCATCACTCAATCTCGTCAGCTCCATTGCATCACCGCCATTATCATCATGAATCGCCGCCATTGCCGCCAGCATCAGCACAACCACCTTTGCCACCGACGCCTGGACATCACCATCGTCATCGTCGCCACCAGCATCGACGCCGCCATCGGCCTTACCGTCGTCATCGTCGTCATCGCCACCACCATCGCTGTTAGTATCATCGTTGCCGCCGTTGTTGACCTCATTATGCGATCACGCCCGCCCGAGTCACCGAACCGCACTGAAGTGCCCGCGTGCTAGCGCGACCTTTGAGACGCGCGGGGAAGTTTCCATCGGTAAGCGCCATCGCAGCCGCATCAGTTGAGCCAAGCCAGCTGGTCGCTCTCCGCGCGAACGCGCTCGCGCCAGCACGGCATCAGCGAGACGCGCTAAGAATTTCTCATCGAGAAACGCAATCGTGGTCGAACGGGCTTGCCAAGCAAGTTGTAGATGTGTGTGTGTGATGTTTGCACGAGCAGCGGAGTTGAGGATGTGCAGACATTCGAAGTTACATCCAACATATCCAATGCATCACAAGGACATGTTGCGTTACTGTAGAGCATCAGTGTTCAGTTTCATGGCCAGGCCAGAATTACTATCTGGCCTTTTGACATTGGCTTCTCAAGCGTTCTGCAGGATTGTTCATTTCACGTAGCAAGTCATAGAACGCGCAGGAGGCTGCCATTGACGCCCGAAACATTTCTTGCACTCAGTAGTCCTTGGGGCACGCGTTGGTCCGACAACTGCATGGTGTACGACTCCACGTCCACACATCAATGCAGCCATACGCGCGCGTACATGTCCAAACCCTGTTCAACCGATTGATTCAAGGACTTTGCTGTCTCTGTGCGCCCGCATTCGCCGTAAACCATACCGGCTTGGCCACTCAGTCAAACAAAACGATGCGAGTTACGCGCGCGCGTTCCCGCGCGCATAGTTGTCGAAACCACTGCGAACCCCATGGGCTTCTAAGCGTCTCAAGGCATATGTACTCTGCAATATGTACAAGACCAAATGGTTCCCAAGAAAGGGTCAGTGGGAACCTGTTCTCGCGCACTTTCCCACCAGTCCTAATCATCAGCATCCCCATCAGCACGATCGCCATCACAATCGCCAGCGTCATCGTGCCATCGTCATCGACATCGCCATCACCACTGCCGTCATGATTTTCATGTTATCTGTCCCTCTCGCCTCGCTCCAGTCCTCTTCCTTTTCTTTCTTCTTGTCCCCCCTCGGCGCTGCGTGTTTGGGATATTGGTGGCCTCTCGGGCCGCAGGGGATGATCCAGATGCATGCAGAGCAACTGCATTACCGATTTGTTGCCCAGACCACGGTTCATATCATGCGTTTGCCTACTCCAGATCGGCTTGTGCGGTGTTCCCGGCTTGCCCAGCAACGTTTTGAATCGCGGTGTGGTGGGGCCATTCGTCCTGTGTTCTGCGAGGGACAAGTGTCATCATAATTAGCACGGACGTCGTCATCATCGTCGTCATCGTCATCGGCGTAGCCATCGCCCTCGTCATCATGGCCACGCCCATCACCGTCATCATCGTGTGAGCAGGGTCCGCGCTCCACGGCGCGTGTTGTGATGTGCGAGCAAGCTCCGACGGGCACGTAACTGCACTTGCGGTCTGAGTCCCTGCCAACAAAGTGCGGGTGGGTGTGTGGGTGGGACGTCTGCTCGAGCCCGGGAGGCGGCCGCGCGCGGAATGGCCAACGTTACCTGCACGTTTTTTTTTTTTTTTTTTTTTTTTTTTTTTTTTTTTTTTTTTTTTTTTGTTTTTTTTTTTGTTTTTTCCTTTTTTTATTTTTTGTCTATTTTCTTTTGTTTTTCATCTTCCCAGAGGAAGCAGATTCTATCCCCCCCACTACTTTCAGGAGGGAAAGAACCACACAGACACAATTCATCGTCGACTCCCCCGAAAATGTGGGAACATAGGGGAAGTGGGGGGGGAAGACAAACGCCCAGAAAACATGAAAACATATGGGGAACATTTCTTCTATTGGTGTGTATGTATCTGTGTGTCCTGGGGCCCCTTCATAGCTACTTCGCCGCGGCCGGGGTTCTCTCCGCCCCTGCCGCGGCCGGGGGTTCTCCGCCCCCCTCCGCGCGTGTCTCTCTCCGGCCTCCCGTGCGTATTCGCCGCGGCTGCCGTGTGATGCCATGTACGGGTACTCCAGATTTCGTAAGAAAGGGACAACAGAGAGCAAACAACACAACAAAACCAGAGCAAAACACAGCAACGAAACTACCAACGTGCCCATCGACTTCGACACCCAGAAAGCTCTCGCCCGAACAGCTCAGAAAGCGATCGAGGTGCACCCCCGGCAGGAAGCTGCCGAAGCCTACACGCAGCTGAGACAACGAGACCACAAAATACTCCAGATCTCGTAATAAAGGGAGGGGGGTCTCATTTCGGGGGGGGGGTCTCTTCCAGGCTAGCTTGGAGGGCCTGGGGGGGTCTGGGGACGATGTTTCGGAGGGTTCTCCCGCGGGGGAGGTCTGGAATGGCTTGTCTTGGAGGGTCCAGACCCCCTCCCTTTTATTACGAAATCTGGAGTACACGATCACATGCTATCCGAGGATGTGTTGCCTCCCCCCTTCGCCCCTGTCAGGTAATACAACACGTTGCGCATGCCTTGATCTAACCACGGCGCTTTGTCCTAATATTTGTCTGATCGTGTGGACCAGCTGCATCTGGTGCGTCGGTTACTACGCAGCTGATCGGACGGAACATATTTGGCGCCCCGAGTTTTGCTTTTTTGGCGACTTGACGTTGCAACCGTCTCAGTTTGGTGCTTTCATTCTTTTGGAGACATGCGTATCAGAAGCCTTGCGCTGAAATGGAAAAGACCAGTTTAGCATCTGTCCCAGCACTGTATGCTCCAGACCCAGATATCCGACATTGTAATTTTCTCATCCCGGCCATGTTTGACGCGGATGAGCTTCTGGCAGCAGTGAGATCGATCATGTCTCGTTGCACGCCCTCTCTGCGCTACCAAACCTGGCCAAAACCAGGAGTTTATGTTGACGCTAGACAGGGGAATCTAGTGAATCAGGAATCCGTAGTTTCTTAAGCGATACAGCGTACATGTGTTCAAGACAAATGAACAACAACTGGATGTCAATGCAAGTTCTATCTCGAGCTTTGCGTTTGTTTGCGCGCGCACTTCCTCATCACCCTCATCAATAACATCGTTATCATCATCGCCGGCGTCATCATTGTCACTGGCATCACGATCGTCTTCACCACGATCACCATCTTCGTGGTCATCCTCCCTATTGTCGTCATTAACATCATCACCATCATCCTGAACGTCGTCGTGGCCCTCGTCGACAGCGCCACCATCAACGTCAACACTTGCCCGCCCGAAACATGGTTTTGCCTGAACATGAACTTCGCGCCCGCCGTTACGCTAGTTCTTTGTTACGAACCAGTTCCAAGTGTGTGTGTGTGTGTGTGTGCGTGTTTGGGGGGTATTCGTTCGACCATTGCAACTGACGACAATAAGTGGCGGTGACGACTTCAAGTTCTTCAAAGCAATGTCATCTAGCTGATACTCTTTTCCACAGAACTGCACTTTACCTCCACACCGAGATTATGTACGACCGTTGCTGTAGTTTTCACACATGCCTATCCCGTCACTCCTCTATTCGACCCCTTCCGCATCCCGGTCAAATAATATGGTGAAGAGCGTTCGCTTTGATCTTACACATGCATGTGTGCTGAATCAGTAACAAAGCAGACCTTGCGTGTCACACATGGGCACATGTCAAAATCCGTCCAGAGACGTGGGTTCGGACATGTTGTACACATGAGGTATGAGCAGTTGTTTCTTGTTTCATCTGCGAATCGTCAGATTTCCATGCGCACTCGATGAGGAAACGATGAGGAAACGTACGGAATCCATGTTTTCTTGGCCATCTTTTCAAATAAGACCATGCGGGTCACACGCGCGCGCATGTCGGAATCATTCAACAATCCTTCCGCACCCGCCAACTCTGTCAAATCATCCTATGTGGGCTACGCGCGAGTTCCCGCGAACGCATGTCGAAACCCTTTGCAACCATAGGCTCCCCGAGCACTTCAGCACAGAGGTGTCACGCACATGCGAAATCAAAACCGCTTCTCAGCCAAGTTTCTGTCAGAATCTCTGCGCGCGCGCACCTCCTGACCACCCCCGTCAGCTCCAGCGTCAGCACTGCCACCGCAGCCCTCGCCACCAGCGCCCTCGTCACACCACCATCCGCAACCATCCCGGCCCCAGCGCTCTTTTTCCAGTCCGAGGGACTGCTCACGGCCCGGGACGGGGGTCTCACATCCCGCTCGCTGGCCATGGCGCTCTCCGACTGCTTCCGCCGGAAGCTGCCCGGCCTCTCGAGCAGAGCCCGGCGCGGCGACGCGACGCCCGACGGCGGCGCGGGCTGCGCGGGCCGACTCGCCCCCCGGGAGCTGGACCCGCCCGCCAGGGGCGAGGCCCACAACGCGGCCAGCTGCGCCCTCATCAGCAGCTTCCTCTTCGGGTACTCGCTCTGCGTCCTCGACACCTGCCTCGGGCTGCTGCCCGTGGTGTTCCAGTGGTGCAACAACGAGTGGCAGTCCGACTGCTTCGCCAGCCGCGCCTGCCAGGCGCTCGTGAACGCCTCGGTCTACCTGGGCGCCGCGATCGGCGCCGTCCTGTCTGGGAGGCTCTACGGCAAGGGCCCGCGCTATCAGATCATGACCTCGGACGTGATCTTCATCGCGGGCGCCCTGCTCGGCGCCACGGCGCGGGGCGTCATCGGGCTCCTCCTCAGCCGCCTCGTCTCGGGCGTCGGCCTCGGCCTCTCGGCCATCGCCGCGCCGGTCTACATCGCGGAGGTGTCCCCGCGGGAGAGGCGCGGGTCCAAGGGCGCGCTGCACGGCGTGTTCATCGGGGTGGGCATCTGGTTCTCCATCACCTGCGGGGTCCCGCAGTCGCCGCCGCCGAGCGGGGAGGGCGAGAGCATCGGTGACCTGGACGGGTGGTATTGGCGCCTCATGCTGGGCGCGGCGGCGATCCCCGCCCTGCTGCAGCTGGTGCTCTTCCAGCGGGTGCTCCCCGTGGACCCGCCGGGCTTCCTGCTGCAGAACGGCAGGACACAGGAGGCGCGCGGGCTCCTCTACAGGACCTACGGCCTGGAGCCCCCGAGGGGCCCGGGAGGCCAGGGGCACCCCGGCGAGCCGAGCGGCGCGGAGCCGGGCAGCCCTGCGGCGAGGGTGGAGCAGATCCTCAGCGAGATGGTCCACGCCTGCGAGCAGGCCACCCAGATCCCGCGACTGCGCATCCACCAGGCGATCTGCGACAGGTACTTCCAGCCCGCGCTGTTCGTGGGGTTCGCCCTCGCGGCGTTCCAGCAGCTCAGCGGCATCAACGCGCTGATGTCCTACTCGAACGCGCTGTTTCTGCAGGCTGGGATCCCGAGCTCCCAGCTGACCCTGGCGTCGACCATCATGGCCACGTGCAACGCCTTTGCCTCGATCATGAGTTCCAAGTTGGTGGACCGCTGGGGCAGGCGGGCGCTGCTCCTGCTTGGGCCGTTCCTGCAGATGGCCGCCATGTTCTGCATCTCCGAGTGCTCGCCAGAGCACGGCTCGTGGGCCTGCCCAATACCAGACGCGCTCGTGACCCCGACCATGGTGCTGTGCTGCTTCTGCGTCTTCACGGTCTCCTTCGCTGCTGGACTGGGCGCCGTCACGTGGATCTATCTCTCCGAGATTTACATCATGGAGATCAGGGGCTCCGCGCTGAGCGCGTGCGGCGTGATAAATTGGCTCAGCTGCTTCATCGTTGTCTTCGGCATGCCCTTCCTTGGCCTGCACGGCGCCTGCAAGTTCTTCGGCGTGGTCTGCCTCGTCGGCTTTGTGGGCGTGCACTTCTTCGTGCAGGAGACGAAGGGGTGCTCGATGGACGACAACCCGCTGACACCGCAGAGCGACAGGGGCAAGTCGCCGCTGCTGTGCACCCCCCAGTCGGAGGAGGACAGCCATGCCGAGGTGCGTATGCGAATCGAGCACCCCGGCAAGCGCTGAGCGGCTCCGTGAGGGGAGTGGGGCGAGGGACGGGTTGCGGCGCGTTTCCTTGCCCGCGCGCTCGCGCGGGAGGCCCGCGCGGCGCGCGCGGGCGCCCGCAGGCAAAAGCGTTTTTTTTAATAGTCGAGACCTCCGCTTCTCCTCCTCCTCCTCCTCCTCCTCCTCCTCCTTCCTCTCCTCCTCCTCCTCCTCCTCCGCCTCCTCCTCCTCCGCCTCCTCCTCCCCCCCTCCTCTTCCTCCTCCCTCCTCCTCCCCCCCCTCCTCCTCCTCCTCCCTCCTCTCCTCCTCCTCCTCCTCCTCCTCCTCCTCCTCCTCCTCCTCCTCCTTCCTCCTCCTCCTCCTCCTCCGCCCTCCTCCTCCCTCCCTCCGCCTCTCCTCCCTCCACGTCCCGCGGCAGCCCCTCGCCTTCCTGCGTCCCGAACTGGCCTCGCAGGGGGCCCTCCAGATTCTCGCCGCCGTGCTACGCGCTGGTCACGTCTAGCACCTGACGGATGGATCGCCCACACTGCGGACACCGCAGCCGTGGTCGACGGCTCGAGTGACGAAGGCCGCAGCACCTCGCGGAGACAGCAGCGACAGCGTCAGCGTGGCCGCCGCCGCGAGGGCCGCCAGCGTGCCGACGCAGCTCGCGGCACCCTCGCAGCTCTTCAGCGTGCTGGCGCCGCCCCGCCTGGACGTTTCGCAGGTCGCGCTTCCCCGCGGCCTTCTCGCACGGAGCGCTCATCCGCTCGACCTGCATCCGCTGGCCCCTCGGGCAATGGCGGCAAAGGCGAATTCCTGCAAGGACGGGACCCCTGGCGTGCTTCGCAAGTGGCCGCCGACCTGGACAAGTTCGCCACCTTCCATCACAAGAGCGTCCACAGGGGGGCGGGCGCCGTGAGGTATCTGCAGTACCTGTTGAAGTACATCCGACCTCTGGCACCGTTCCCGCAGCTCGATTGCCTGGGCTTCCTGAAGAATTGGACGCCGCTGTTCAGAGCCTCATGCAGCAGCAGGTCGCCCACGCCGCCGACACCTTCCGCACTCAAGCTGGTCGGCTTCTTAAGCAGTCTCGGGAAAGATCCCGTGTTCTCTTTCAGGATCAAATTCTTCAAACAGATCGCCGCGTCGCGAGCAGGACCGCCAATCAGCCGAACAGAAACGCATGTGACAGCAAATCGAGCAGACGCGAGACACCATCGCTTTCGCGGAGGCACAGACCACGCACGCTTGGCCGAGCGGGAGCACATTCCAAACCCCGCGCTCTTCACCATCGGATGCCAGCGCCCCGTCTCGCCCGAAGTCCTTCTCACTGGCCTGCAGAAGTGGACCGGAGGCGCCGGCCTACAATTTCACCACGTCGAATTCCATCGAGGTAAGCCTGCTCTTCGGTCCGTCGTCCAAGTCAAAGGAGCACGTGAAGTCGCTGTACCGCTTGCCCTTGCCCTTCAGTGAGCCCTTCGAGAGGCTGCAGGCAGGTGGAAGCGCTTCGTCTCCACGGACAGCACTGGGCAACGTGTCGACCTTACCTCAACCCCGGCAAATCGCTGAAGCAGGCCCGCATTGAGACCCACTGCAAGAAGTTGTAGTCGCTGCTCCAGTGCCAGTGCCCCAGCTGGCAGTGGCGAGCCATTGGCAACGAGGGCGGGATCCACAGCAACGCCGCGACCGCCGTCCGCCTCGACATCCGCGGTCAGGCCGACCCGCCGTCCCCGAGTGGAGCGAAAGAGTCCCCGAGCTCCAGCAGTTCCGGGGCGCCGACCGCGCCGCCGTCCTCGCATGCTTCCGGGCCCTCCCCGCCGACACAGAGTCCGCCACGTGGCGCTCCTCACCATCCCGTGGCGGGGTGGCTGGCGCCTGAGGGCTCGTCGCCCGCAGCTCTCGCCGGCCTGGGCGCCCGCGCGCCGACGCGCCGCGGGCGCGCCCCACGCAGACGCAGGCGGGCCCCCCTCGCCGAGCTGATCCGGCGCCAGTGCGCCATCCTCCTGCTGGAGGTCCGCGGCTCCGCGGCGCTGCTCCGCGCCAGGGGTGGGCGTGCGGCCGTGCCCGTGCACGCTCCCCTCCTCCGAGTTCACCTCCAACGACGGCGCCGTTTCATCGGCCACCGGCGGCGCCGCCATCCTCACCCCGTGATTCACGCTGGTGCAACCAGATCATCTCCGGCAGGGCCGGCTCCCGACCCTATCGCGCAGCATCCTCGTCCCAGGGCGCATCCGGCTGCTTGCGATCGCTGGCGCCTCTTCGCGCAACGCGCTGGTCTCGATGAGCGCTCGCAGCCGCGAGCTTGCCGCGCGAGTTCGTGATGGGGTCTTCGCTGCCTGGCGTGCGCGCCGCGAGTGTGCGGGGCCGGACTGCCAGCGCCGCGCGTTTCTGGCCATAGGCGACTTTAACACCGCCAGCCGCCCGCCCAACAGCTTCTTCCAGCCGCAGTCGCAACGCGTGCGCCTCGCGCTCGACTGCAACAACTGCCAGCAGCAGCCGTTCTGGAACTTCCTTTCTCCTCTCCGCGCCCGAGATCGAATCGGACCTGCCGACAAGGTTCACCAAGCCTGACCTACGCTGCGTCTGCGATCGACCGCGTCTTCATCAGCCCCCACTCTCACGCCGCGCAGGCGCTCGCCGCGCGGGTTGACGTCGCCCGTGGTGCGACCATCTCGTCGGAGAAGCGCCTCGTCGACCACGCTGTCATCACTTCCGCCGTCGGCATCAAGCCGCGCGCGCCCTCCGTCGAGCGGGCCATCCTGCCCGCGATCTCCCCCGACCCGAGCTACGCCGTCTTTCTGTGGCAGCTCATCGACGCCTCCAACGCCACCTGCGTAGCCAGCGAGAACTGTTGGCAGTCGCACGTGCTCGGGCGAAGAGAACTATGCACATGCACCGACCCTGACAACGTCCATCCTTGAGCCAGGATCGGTGCATATACCGTCCTGGCTAAGGTAAGAGGGCGTATGCACCGATCCTGGGCTCAGGATGGGCCTGGCCAGAATCGGTGTATGTGCATAGTTCTCTTTCCTCTACGTGCGCCCTGTGGTCGAAGCTTCCCGCCTGGTTCGGGATGATTGGGTTCGCTTGTCGACCGGCGACGCCTCCCGCCTGGGCTGTCATGGTGGCCGCGCCCTCGCGATGCGCTCGATCTACAGGGCCACCTGGCGCCCCTGAACATCACCCTGGCAGGGCGCCTCGAGTCCGCCGCCGACCTGGCCAAGCCGTTCCTGGTCATCGCCGACGGAGCATCATCGCCCTCTCGAATGACTCCCTGGTCGCCAGCCTCTGGGCCTCCTTGCCCCGCGGCTTCGAGGGGCGCCACCGCGCGCTGGCGCGGGGCGCCGCTCGCCGCCTCCATGGGGCAGGCCGGCGCCATCCCTCCCGAGAAGTCCGAGCGATCCTTCGGGGCCCCCTCGCAGCGCTCGCTCCTCTGGGCCTCATGGGAGCGCCGTGATGCCCTCTGGTGGATCAAGGTCCAGGGCCGCCAGGTGCGCCCTGCGGAGGTTGCGGGAGAGAGCGGCGCCATGGTCGAAGCCCTGCGCTCTCTCTCTGGCAGCCCGTCGTCTCCGCGGAAGTGGTCGGCGATTCCAAGGCGCAGCGGTGCGTCGAGCAGCGCGTGCCCCGCGGCGATCTGCCTGGCGCCAGGGGCCACGCGCAAGCGCCAGATCAAGGCCTGCCTCATCCGTGCTTCACCTTCGGCGCCTGGCCCCGACTGCCTGCTGTGTTATCCCTGGCTGGCCCGCGACCTCCTCCTGAACGTCATGGAGGAACTTTCTTCCTGCTCGGGCCGGTCGATCCCGAGGGGCCTGGGCGAGTCCGACTTCGCCTTCTCCTCGAAGGGCGACGGCCTGACTGGGGGGCGCGCCGCGGACGGGACCCCCGCGGGCGCTCGCCCTCTTCCGCTGACGAGCATAGCCATCATGGCTACAGCTGGCGCAGCCAGTCATTCTCTGAAGCCCGGCGTCGCCCAGCGGGCGCACGAAGCGCAGCGGGGCTGCGCTGCGGGGCGCAGCTTCGCCGGGCGCATCGTTCGCCTCGGCGCCGAGATGCGCCGCGCAGGCCTTCGGGTCGACCGCGTCAACCACCGCCCGATCTTCATCGGCTTCGGCTTCGCGGCCGCATTCCCGTCGCTGGGCAGGGCCTGGCTGTCCGCGACGCCCCGGCCCCTCGGCGTCCCCGCTGGCCTTCTCAATTGCTCTCGCGCCATGTGCTGCTCGCTGGCCTCGTGCGTCAAGGTCGACGGCGTCCGCCGCGTACTGTTCGCTAGCGAGTCGGCGTTTGCTCGCGGCTGCCCAGCCAGCGGATGTGCTTGGGCAGTCGAGATTGACCCCCCATGGTTCGCCACGGAGCCTCCATCGTCGAGAACGGGGGCGGCTCGCCCGACCTGCCCCGCGGCCACGCAGGCGCATGTGCTCGCGAACTAGGGCCCCCCGTGCAGCAAGTCCGCGATGGTGAAGCGCGTCGCTGAGCCTTTTTGCCGCCCCCGAGGAGCCTGCTCGGCTCTCGCTGAAGCCTCGCAGGTGCGTGATCGCCCCCGCTCTGGGACTAGACGAATCCTGCCACCACTGCCCAGGCCCGTTCCCTGCTGTCTGAGTCTGCCCCCGTCCTAGCTCGGTTTCTCGATCTCGGGGCGCGCCAGGTGCCCTGGGGCCTCCTTCGGACCGGCGGCGTCTCTTGGACGAGTGGCGCGCCCCGGGGCAGAACTGGTGGCAGCGCGGTAATATGTTGCAGCTCGTTCGGTCTGGTAGCGACGCTACCGTTCGTTCATATAACGCGCTTGTGCTCTCCACTCTTAGCTACGTCACCCACTTCTTCCTTGTAGAGGAGACCATCGTTCGCCGCGAGCTCCATTTTTGGCACAACATCCTAGCCATGCCCCCGAACTTGTTACGCAGGGTCGATCTTGTCGCCTTGGCCGAGTGGGCTTCTCCTCTTGTGCCCGCGTTTTTACAGGTCGTCACAGTTGCCGCTGCCATGCGATCTGCGTCGGCCACGCTCGGCGGTAACTGGGGGGAATTCTTTGATTGGCTGCGAGA